CGGATCACCTGAGGTCAGGAGTATGAGACCAGCCTGGCCAACATGGTGAAACCCATCTCTACTAAAAATGCAAAAAAATTAGGTGGCCGTGGTGGCGCACACCTGTAATCCCAAATACTCAGGAGGCAGAGGCAGGAGAATCGCTTGAACCTAGGAGGTCGAAGTCCACTGCACTCCAGCCTGGGTGACAGACGCTCTGTCTCAAAAAAAAGAAAATACAGATCGCGTCTTGCTATGTTGTCCAGGATGGTCCAGATATTCAGGGCTAAAGCCGTCTTGCCCCTTCAGACTCTCAAGCAGCTGGGACTACAGGCTAGAACCACCAACCCTGTACATTTGTATAATTATTTCAAAAATTAAAAATTTGAAAGAAAACAAACTGCTTGAGGCATAGTGGCAGAAGGCAAGCATGAGGCCACTTCTGGGGCTTGCTAGGGTCGCTGGCTACATGGGTGTATGTTCAGTTGTGAAAATTCAGGGAGAGCCTAAGCTATGCACCTTCTTCTGAAATTGTTACCTAGTAGCCAATAAAACGCTTTTGGCCCCAGAGCAGTGGCTCTAGCCTCTAATCTCAGCACTCTGGGGACTAAGGCAAGAGGATCGCTTGAGGTCGGGAGTTCGACGCTAGCCTAGACAACATACTGACAACTCTACAAAAAAACTTAAAAATTAGCCGAGCTGGTGGTGTGTGCCTGTGGTCCCAGCTACTCGGGAGGCTGAGGCGGGAGGATCGTTTGAGCCAGGGAGGTGGAGGGTGCAGTAAGCCGAGATCGCACCACTACACTCCAGCCTACACGACACGGCAAGACCCTTTTAATAACAGGTTTTGTTGAGTGTCTCATTGATCCGGTCCCTCCCACGCCCCCTGTGCTTCACAAAAACGTCAAGTCCGAGCTCGCGGCCCGGCGCGGCGGCCTCCTCTTCCGCGGGCCTGGCCGGGGCTCCGGAGACGGACGAGTTCCTTGGGGCCGGGAGTCACCAATCGCACTCAGCCTGACACGGCAATGTTTCGGATACTTTGGGTAAAAATTAAATGTCTTACGAAAAATCCAGTCACCTGTTTCTCGATTTTTTTTTACGGTGGCGTCTAGAACCGTTCGTCAGCGAGAACTCCGTACCCGAGCGCCGCGATCACCTGTTCCCAGGGTGGGCAGGAAGCGCACTGGCGGCGTCAGCGTGCGGAGCGTGCGTGAGAGCGTCAGGAGCGAGGGAGGGGGCAGAGGGCGGGGCCAGACGACCGCGGTGCCGGGAGCGCGCGCGCCATGGCCTGAGGCGTCAGGAAACAAGCGCGCGAGCGAACGGGCGGGGCGAGTCCGGGAAAAGGCGGGGCCGCAGCCGCGCCCCTGACTTCCGCCGCCTGCGGGTGAGACCGCCTACCATCCCCGGGCGCGCTTGGGCACGTCGCGGGAGGCGGGATGGCCCGCCCCCAAGCCACGCCTCTGACCTATGAGAACTGGGCTGTCCCGCACCAACCGAGAGGAGCCTTCGCTCTCGCAAGGCTTGGGCGTTCTGGGCGCACTGCGCCCTCTGTTGAACCTTAGAAGCTGCGCGGGGACCGTCGGGCCTGCCGTTTCGCACCTGGCCGAAAGGGGTCGCTGTGCCAGGCCAGATCCTATAAATTTACCTGGATAATCTCAGCAAGAGAAAATTAGCTGCAGTGCAAAGAAGCCAAGCTCAAAAGACTGGATTATTCCATTTACATGACATGTTGTCACAGTTAAGACTATAGCAGCAGATCAGTGGCTCCTACACAGTTAAGACTACAACAGCAGATCAGTGGCTCCTACGGGCTGAATTAACCACCAAGGGGCATGGGGGACATTGGAGCTAAAGGAACCAATTCATATCTTTTTTTTTTTTAATTTTGCTTTACTTTTATTCTTTTTTAAATCATATCTTGATCATAGTGGTGGATAGGAAACTATGTATTTGCCAAAACATGCAAAACCAAAAACCGGAAAGTGTGACTTTTACTAAATGTAACTACTTTTTTATTAATTTGTTTTTAAAGACAGATTCTTGCTCTCTTGCACAGGATGGAGTGCAGTGGCTCCATCTCGGCTGACTGAAACCTCTACCCACTGGGGGCAAGTGATTCTCCTGCCTCAGCCTCCCCAGTAGCTGGGACTACAGGCGAGCACCACCATGTCCAGCTCATTTTTGTATTTTTAGTAGAGACAGGGTTTCACCATGCTGGCCAGGCTGGTCTTGAACTTCTGACCTCATGTGATCCACCTAACTTGGCCTCCCAAAGTGCTGGGATTATAGGTGTGAGCCACCGCGCCTGGCCAACTACTTTAACTTTTTTAAAAAAGTTATTAAAACCAGAAAGCAGATAAGCGGTTGCTGGAGACTGGGAGGAGGGGGAAGGAGTGGCTGCTTAACGGAGGCATTTTGGACATGTTTTGGAACCATGTAGGCTGTGTAACACTGAATGTATTAAGTGCCGTTGAATTGTTCACTGTAAAATTCCAGGAAACTCTGCAGGCTCCTTTCTGTTAAAAGAGTTCATGTCCATGTCATCGTGGGGTAAGCTGTGACTCTGCCTTCTACTCTGGCCTCAGTCCCCAAGCACCCAGCACTGTGAACATGAGGCATAGCAGAGGACCATGGCGTAAATCGATCTCTAGCCATGGAAGATTGAAAGATTTAAAGGATCATGGCCCAGCCTGGGCAACATGGCAAAACCCTGCCTCTACGATAATATACAAAAAAATTAGCTGGCCAGGAATGGTGGCTCATCCCTGTAACCCCAGCACTTTGGGAGGCAAATCACCTGAGGTCAGGAGTTCAAGATAAGCCTGGCCAACATGGTGAAACTCCGTCTGTACTAAAAACACGAATATTAGCTGGGCATGATGGCAGGTGCCTGTAGTCCCAGCTACGTGGCAGGCTGAAGTGGAAGAATCACTTGACCTTAGGAGGTAGAGGTTGCAGTGAGGTGAGATTGTATCATTACACTCCAGCCTGGGCAACACAGCAAGATTCTATCTCCAAAAAAAAAAAAAGCCAGGCTTTGTGGTATAGGCCTGTGGTCCCAGCTTCTAGGGAGGCTGAGGTGGGAGGATCACTTCAGACCAGGAGGTCAAGGTTACAGTGAACTAGGATCAAAACACAGCACTCCAGCCGGGCGCGGTGGCTCAAGCCTGTAATCCCAGCACTTTGGGAGGCCGAGGCGGGTGGATCACCAGGTCAAGAGATCGAGACCGTCCTGGTCAACATGGTGAAACCCCGTCTCTACTAAAAATACTAAAAATTAGCTGGGCATGGTGGCGTGTGCCTGTAATCCCAGCTACTCAGGAGGCTGAGGAAGGAGAATTGCCTGAACCCAGGAGGCGGAGGTTGCGGTGAGCCGAGATCACGCCATTGCACTCCAGCCTGGGCAACAAGAGCGAAACTCCGTCTAAAAAAAAAACAAAACAAAAAACAAACAAACAAAAAAAAACACAGCACTCCAGCCTGGCGACAGAGCAAGACTCCATTTCACATAAAAATAATAATAAAAATTTTAAAATAGCCAGGCGTGGTGGCTCATGCCTATAATCCCAGAACTTTGGGAGACCAAGATGGGCAGATCACTTGAGGGCAGGAGTTTGAGACCAGCCTGGCCAACGTGGTGAAACCCTGTCAATACTAAAAATACAAAAATTAGCCGAGCATGGTAGTGCACACCTATAGTCCCAGCTACTTGGGAAGCTGAGGTAGGAGGATCACTTCAACCCAGGAGGTGGAGGTTGCAGTGAGCCAAGATCACACCACTGCACTCCAGCCTGGGCAACAGAGACTCTGTCACAAAAACTAACCATAAAATAAAATAAAGGACCACACTGATCCCCAGTAGGATGCAATACCCTTGTGCTATTATCACCAATTTTCAGAAGAGGAAATTGAGGCTCAGAGGAAGTGGTTTGTCAGAGGTGGAACTGACCTCTGGCAGACCAATTCCAGGACCCGAGCACTTGAACACCATACCACAGTGGGGTGGGAGAGGGGGGAGGGGAGGGGGAGGGTGGTGGGGTTCCCCTTCTAGAGGAGAGAATGAGGTTCAGAGAAGTTATACAAGCCCAGGAAGTGGCAAAACCTAGGAATTAAGCCTGGGGATCAAGCAGGGCCCCTGACCACCTGTGTCCTCTTCCTGCCATTTGGAATCAGTGGCTTGCTTGTTCCTTCTCTCAGCACCTCCCACCAAAGAACCACTCCTCAACCGCAAGGCCATCTTCCACCTTTTTGTCTCGAGATGGAGTTTCGCTGTCTCCAGGCTGAAGTGCAGTGGCACAATCTCGGCTCACTGCAACCTTCGCCTCCCGGGTTCAAGTGATTCTCCTGCCTCAGCCTCCAGAGTAGCTGGGACAATAGGCGTCTGCCAACATGGCCGGCTAATTTTTGTATTTTTAATAGAGACAGGGGTTTCACCATGTTGGCCAGGATGATCTCAATCTCTTGACCTCGTATTCCGCTCGCCTCAGCTTCCCAAAGTGCTGGGATTACAGGTGTGGGCCACCGCACCGGGCCCCTTCCCTTTTTTTTTCTGAGACAGTCTCCCTCTGTCACCCAGGCTGGGGTACAGTGGCACAATCTCAGCTCACTGCAATCTCTGCCTCCAGGGTTCAAGCGGCTCTCCTGCCTCAACCTCCCGAGTAGCTGGACTACAGCCACCAAGCACAGTTAAGTTTTGTATTTTGAGTAAAGACAGCTTTCACCATGTTGGCCAGGATGGTCTCAATCTCCTGACCTCGTGATTCACCCGCCTCGGCCTCCCAAAGTGCCGGGATTACAGGCGTGAGCCACCGCGCCCGGCACATCTTCCATCTTTACAGAATACTCAGAGTAATCCCAGGGAACATCAGGACTCCAATTTCTCATCCCAACACACAAGCTGAGGGAGTTACTGTACTCACACACACCCCGTTCCCTTTGAAGGGCCCAAGGAGCCCCCCTAATCTAGACAGGTAGCCCTGCCCAGGGCTTCAGGCCAGCCCACACCCAGGAGACTCAGAATCTAAAAAACAAAGTACAAACTTTATTTTGTTTCTTTACAAAGGCACGGTGGCCTCTTGGTTTTTTTCTCCCCACTTTCTTAACAAAATATAATAGCTTCTCCTTGAACATGAAGACCTCAAAATTGTAAAAAAAAAAAAAAAAAAGAAAGAAAGAAAGAAAAACGTAACAAAAACAGAAAGCAAAACCAAAAAAAAAAAAAAAAAAAAAAAATACCAACAACAAACAAAACAAAAAGAAAAAGACAAAGACATTTTTGGGGTGGAAGATGAGACCGGAGGCAGAGGTGGAGGCTGGGGGTGGGAGAGTGGAGAATTCTAGTGCCGAGATGGGGAGCGGGGGGATCAGAGCAGCAGCAAACCCCAACCGAGAAGCAACGGAGACCCCTGGGCCCCCAGAACGCCCCAGCCCAGTGTGACCCCAACCCATGTAAGTGCTTAAAGGAGAAAAGAAAACCCAAAAAGAGGAGGGAAAGGGGACTGAGGACCGACAATCCCAGGCTGGCTCTGGGCAGGGAAGAGATAACTCGGTGTTTTGTTTGATTTTCCCTGTTCTTAAAAAACCTGTTTAAAGGAAAAAATGCTTTTTGGCAGAGAGAGGCAGGCACCTCCGTGTCAGCTTCCCCCAGCCCCCGGGGCCGAGGCCCAGCCCTGGGGTCCCGATGCTCCCACACGCTCTGAGCCACCCCAGCCCTGGGACCTCGAGTTGAGTGGCTTCGTTCAAAGGTTGATTTACAGTATTGAAAAAGAGGTCATAAAAGAGACCCAAATAACATCGTAATTTTGTAAAAATTTCTCACTCATTCACCCTCATCTCTCCCTGTGGCTGCCCCGGCTCCCTCGAGCCCCCAGAAGGGAGAGGAGGGCTGGGGGGGTAGTCAGGGAAGCTCCCCGTCCCCTGAGGGTTCCTCCCGGCTCTGGTCCATGGCATCACTGTCTGAGGCCTCGGAGTCGGAGGCAGTGTCAGAGGTGGCGGCCTCCGGGCAGCTTCGGACCGGCTTCACGATGACAGCTCGCCTCTGCTCCTCCTCCAACTCCTGCTTTTCCTGGGTGCCCTCGATGTGCTGGATTGCCTGGACAGGGACGAACCAATGAGGAGGCTTGGCCGGGGACACACAGCCGGCCAGGAGGCAGTGGGGGCCCTCAGCCAGCCACTGTCTCCCTCAGAACACACATCCCAGAAATAAGCCTTGCAAAGCAACAGGGGAGGCCCCCCAGACTCTACGAAAAACAAACTCTTTTTCCCTTTTTTTTGGAGAGACGATCTCACTGTATCACCCAGGCAAGAGTGAAGTGTGCAGTGGGCAGGATCACAGCTCACTGCAGCCTCAGATTCCTGGGCTCAAACAATCCTCCTACCTCTGCCTCCCTAATAGCTGGAACCACAGGACTGCACCACCATCCCCAGCTAACTTTTGTATTTTTAGTAGAGATGAGGGGGTTCTTGCTATGTTTTCCAAGCTGACCTCAAACTCTTGACCTCAGGCAATCTGCCTGCCTCAGCCTCCCAAATAGCTGGGATTACAGGTGTGCGCCACCAAGCCCGGCAAATTTTCGTATTTTTAGTAGAGAGAGAGTTTCATCCTGTTGGCCAAGATGGTCTGGAACCCCTGACCTCAAGTGATCTGCCCACCTGGCCTCCCAAAGTGTTGGGATTCCAGGCGTGAGCCTCCCTGGAATATGTTTGTCTATTTTAAAGCTTGCCTACTAACTTATTAAAGGCCTTTGTTATTAATTGCATTATGCAATTTGCAAGGTTTATGAGCAACTGAAATTCAGGGAGATTGTTGGATTTTTTTTTTCCTCTCTTGCTTTTTTGGTTGGGTTATTTATTTACTAATTACTGATTTCTGAGGTTGGGTCCCTTAAGGGGCCCTGTTCAAGGCTGACTGCAACTATACCTTCAGGCTTGAGCCACAGAGTTCCTCCTACGTAGGAGGCCCAACTGTCACCCACAGCCCAGACCCCTGTATCCCTATCCAGGTCGTCGGGGATGGAGGTGAGACAATGCTTTGGACCAGCCCCTGAGCTGGATGCAGCAACTCTGTAACCAGGGGACTCTGGGAGCAAAGGACCCTCTCCGGAAAACCCACACTGTGGGAAAGGACCGTCTTCCCGGCCAACCCCTCCGGACACGTAGGCCCTGCCCGGGTCTCTGGTTCTCATATTCCCCACTTGCAGATCCAGGGAGGGAACCCCCAAGGCTTCCAGCCTTCCACCCCCTCCCACCCAGGCACCATCTTCCTCCTCTACTGCTCCTCATTTTCTAGTCTAAAGAGGAGAAAGAGCCTGTTCCCAGCATATGACGCCTACAAGCTGCCCCTTTCCTAAGCCCAGATACCTGCACGATGGTGTCCAGATTTTGCCGGGATGTGGAAACAGAGTTGATGACTGAGGAGGGGCCCATGGTGACAACGTTGATGTGGTGGGAGGGAGGGGGAGGCGGTGCCGGCACGATCACTGTGGGGTGGTGGGTGGGGGCGGGAGGGGGCAGGAGCTGCAAGACAGAAGCCCTCAGCCTTTCTCTCAAGCCTTCTCCCGGCCCATCCACCTCCCTTATTCATGCAGGGCTAGCCAGTGTATAACTCCCCACCCCCTTTATGTTTCGAAACAGAGATGAGATGGACTACAGAGAGGCTTCCAGCCATCCAACATCCCCCGCCCGCTCCCCAATCCCCAGAGCCTGCTTCCAGGCGCCTCCTGCTCACCTGGGTCCGCAGGTGCTGCTGCTCCCGCTCCAGCTTCTCCTGGTGCAACAGCCTCACCTGTTCCTGCTGCTGCTGCAGCTGCACCTGCTGCGCGATCACCTTGAGCTTTTCTGGGTACATGTGGGCCTCCAGCGAGCGCACCTGGAGGCAAGACAGCCTCGGCTCAGAGGCAGGCCCGGGAGCACACCCTGCCCTGTCAGTCCCACAGCAGGTCATTAACTCCTGCTGAAAACCCTACCACCAGGCGGGCCCCCCTCAACAGAGGCCAGAGCATTTCCAGAGACCTTCAGCCCCTGCCTCATCTCACCTCAGCCTCCACTGGACCACTGGACCATGCTCCCTCCTGTCTGAGCCTTTGCCTATGCTGTTCCCTCTGCCGAGAACACCCTTTTCTACGTTTTGGTTAATTATGAGACTCAACCTCCCACTTCCATGGAGAAACTATGGGGCATCCCTAGGAAAACCAGGTCAAACCCCCTCCGGATGCCACAGCTCCAGCCTGGCCTTCATCATGGTTAAGTGCTTTGTTTTTGGTTTTTGTTTTGATTTTGAGACAGGGTCTCCCTCTGTCACCCAAGCTGGAGTGCAGTGGCACAATCACAGCTGACTGCAGCCTCCAGCTCCTGGGCTCAAGCCATCCTCCCAGCTCAGCCTCCCAAGTAGCTGGGACCACAGACGTGCACCACCACACCTAGCTTTTTGAGACAGGGTGTCACTCTGTCACCCAGGCTGGAGTGCCATTGTGCGATCACCGCTCACTGCAGTCTCTACCTTCTGGGCTCAAGCAATCCTCCCAGCTCAACCTCCTGAGCAGCTGGGACCACAGGCACACCCCACCACACCTGCCTAATTTTCATATATTTTTTGGTGAAGATAGGATCTCACTACGCTTCCCAGGCTGGTCTCAAACACCTGGGCTCAAGTGATCCTCCCACCTCAGCCCCACAAAGTGCTGAGATTACGGGTGTGAGCCACCATACCCAGCCCATCAGGGTTACATTTTTGAGGTCATTTGACTAATCTCCCCCACTGCGACCCAAACGGTGACCCCCGAGGGCAGGGACGTGTCTGGCTTGCTCCCCACTCCTAAGCCTGGCACCGCAGCCGGTGCTCCTGTAAATAGGGCTCAACCAAGGGCAGCAGAACCTTACAGGGGGGACCCCAGGCTCCGCGCCCGCCGCACCACGCGCCGCGCCCACCAGAGGGCGCTGCCTCACCTGCTCCTCCAGCATCATGCGCACGGAGCGCTCCTTGTCCAGCTGCTGCCGAAGCTCAATCATCTCCCGCCGCAAGTCCTCCGCCTTCTCGTCCTCCCAGATGTCCGGAGAGCCGATGCCTTCGTCCTTGTCCTCTGCCCGCCGTCGCTTGGGGGACGAGCCGCTCAGCTCCTGGGGACCCCAAGGAGTCGGTCAGTGTGCCTGACACATCAAAACACCACGGAGATTGGGGCTCCATCGCAGCCCCCCAAAGCTGCCCAACACAGGTGAATCTTCATTAGGGAGCCCCTTCTGCAAGTCCAACAAACCAGCCAAATGCCAGGAGAATGGCTGCTGTCCAGAGCAGTCACCTGGCTCATTCCATAGCCCACTCCACCACACTAGACTGATGAGGAAACTGAGGCTGGGGCAGGAAAACAAGTGCCTGAAGTACTTGCCAGTGGGCAAGAAAGGGCCTGCAGCCACACCTGCATCCCAGGCCCATGGCTGGGTCCTGGGATGCCCATGCCAGGAGAGGGAGCCAGGAAGGAGGGCAGGGCGCACCTGGATGAAGCGCTTGAGCTGTGTGTTCTGCTGCAAGAGCCTGGTCTTCTCCTGCTCCAGGGAGAAGATGTACTCGGCTGTCTGCTGGAGAATGGCTGCCTGAAGGCAGGGAAAAGCCAAGAGTCAAGCTGGCAGTGTTTACCAGAGCTCACTTTCCTCTCCCAGAGGGAGTCTGCCGCCTCCTCCAGGAAGCCCTCCCTGCTCTCACCCACCTTGCTGAGCTTCTCTCCGTCTGTGTGGGGGATGAGGGTCTTGAGAGACTGAAAGCCCGCGTTGATGCTCTGCATGCGCCTCCGCTCGTTGCTGTTGGCGATCTCCCGTCGAATCCGCCGCTCCTGGTCCCGCTGAGTCTCCGGGGTCAGTGGAATGTTGGCAAGGCTGCCAGAGAGGACAGGAACAGGCTCGGCCAAAGCGCCCTCTTCATCATTCAACTCCAGAGGGCCCGAGTGGAACCTGCATCCCGCCCCTGCTGCAAAAGATGACAGGCCACCCCCAGAGGGTGATGGAGGGGCACTCTCTGCGACACCCAGGTGGACTGAATAGGCTGGCTGAGGGTAAGATAGTCTGCTCAGAACCCAGCGAGGGCCACACACAGTGGCTCACACTTGTAATCCCAGTTCTTTGGGAGGTCAAGGCCAAGGATCAATGAACCCAAAAGTCTGAGATCATTCTAGGCAACCTGTCTCTACAAAAAATAAAATTAGCTAGGTGTAGTGGTGCACGCCTGTAGTTCCAGCTACTCAGGAGGCTGAAGTGGGAGGGCTGCTTGAGCCCACAGGTGGAGGCTGCAGGGAGCTATGATCGAGCCTGTGCACTTCTCGGCATCGGAGCAAGACCTTGTCTCAACAACAGCAAAAATCCATCCCCTCCTTGGCTTCCCTCACGGGGAGCAGTTTCTCCTCCCCAACAGAATTCCCAGTGTGTCAGAGCATCAAAACACCCAGAAGCTTAGAAACTGTGCAGACGACGGGTGCTGGCCCCAGTGTTTGACTAGCAGGCCTGGTGGGGCCCAGAAACTTGCATGGTGTAATTCTGATGCACGTGGGACGCTGACAGTCAGGGATGCTGTCCCGCTCCTGGGAGACTTCTGAGTGGCCTGCTGGGCGCCTAGAGCGCCTCTTCAGCGTCTCAGGCTTTGAATCCCAGGACTGAGGAAGACGTCCCCACTCCCTTCCTACCCTCACGGCCACGCCTCCAGTCACAAGCCCCAGCCCCACTACACTGAGACTTCACACACCTCACACAGGACAAGACAGACACCACTCACTCCCCAAAAAGACAAGACGCCAGCAACCCTTGCAGACAGTGCTCCCCGCAGCCCACCCACTCCAAGAGACAGACCCACCCCGTGCCGGAGCAGCGAGGCTCCCAGCAAGCTGTGGGGAGCGCTACTAACCCTTGCAGGAGCAGCGGCCAGCGAAGTGAGAAGGCTGCCCCGGGGAAGAGCGCGTGGCTGCTGAGTGGGGGCGGGGCTTCCGGCGGGGGCGGGGCGTGCGCGCCAGAGGGCGGGGCTGCGGGCCAGGGAGCAGAGGCAGCGGTTGTGGGCCCAAGGCCACACTCCCGAGGGTTGGGCCTGTGTGTGGCCTGGAGGAGGCATGTCTCCCTCCCTGGACCTCCCCTGCAACTTCCCCCGCCCCTGGCCTGATGGCTTCCAGATGCTGGGCTCCCAGCAGAGGCCGCCGGCCCCACCCGAAGCCGCAGCCCCGGCCTCTTCCTGAGGGGCCCTCCCGGGGTGCCCTGTTCCAGGACTGGGCCAAGGGGGCTCACGCCCTTGAATCTGGGAGAACAGGGAAACGGCTCTGAGCAGCTCTTGCTCTATTGGCGGGGACAATCTGGGCTCAAGGGGCTGCCAAGTCTAATTCCCTGCTGTGGCCCCTACGCCAATGGGTAGGCGGAGAGGAGTTTGCATGGACCCAGGAGAAAGCACATCTCCAACAGCTGGAAACAGCCGAGGCCTTCCTGGCCCCACCCATCCTGCCCCATCTGTCCAGCCTTGGCTCCCTGTGGGACCCTGTTCGTATCCCTGCCCCTTTCTCGGCCTGGGCTTCCTCTCCCAACAGAGAGGTGGGCAAATCAGCCTCCTTCCGGCCTCATCAAGCCAAGCCCCTCCTCCATCAGGACCCAAAGTCCGACGGCCCGTCCTCCGGGTGTAAGTCGCTCACAAGGCCTTGAAATGTCAGGGCGGCAAAGGGAGCCCGGGCCCCCCACTTTCCATGGGAGACTTTAGGGTTCAGAGAGGGAGGGGCACGGTTTTAGGGTCAATCAGCTGGACGTCAGTGCCCTCACTTCTCCCACTTCCCCTGCCTGCAGCGGGGGTGACCGGGGCACTAGGGCAGGCCTGCTGCACAGCTGTGTGTGGCCCATCCCTGGGGTGGAGTCCAGGCTCCCAGGTCTGGCACAGCCTCAGACTACACCATCTCTGAAAGGCCAGCAGGCCAAGGGGGCTAGGACTGCTCTGCAGTGGTGGCTTAAAGCTGGTGCTCTTTGCAGGTAAGAAGTGGGAAGAGATGTCCATAGGAAGCCACAACACAGGGTAAGTGCAACCTGGGGACATCACCATTCCCACAGGAGAGATGTGGGGAGAGCCCCCTGCTCACCCAGCCCCTGGGCCCCTCCTGGCAATGTCTAAAGGTCAGAGCTGACCAGGGCCTGGGGGTGAAAAGGGAGCACTAAGTCCAGCCTTGGGCCACCTGAGAGCTGGCCCTCCCGGAGGGTCCACAACAGAGGAACACATCTTTTTATTTAAGTTTTTGGCTAGAATTTTCTCACTGAATTGTCACCGTCTTCCTGAGTCAGATGACCTGTAGACTCCTCTGTAAAGAGGGGGGCACAGAGACTTGGGTGGGGATCAGCTGCAGCAAGTGCTGGGACTTGAACCCTGACCCCAGAGCAGGTGTCAGGCCATAGAGCAGAATGAGTGCTGACCATCCCACAGAGCCAGATGGCCCGACCAGCAGATGACAATTATCCCTATAAAAGAGAGGACCAGGCCAGGCATGGTGGCTCACACCTATAATCCTAGCACTTTGGGAGGCCAAGGCAGAAGGATCGCTTGAGCCCCAGAGTTCAAGACCAGCCTGGGCAACAAGTGAGACCCCATTACCACACAAAAAAATTAAGAAATCAGCTAGGCATGGTGGCATGTGCCTATTGTTCCAGCTACTCAGGAGGCTAAGGTGGGAGAATGGAATAAGCACAGGAGGTTGAGGCTGCTGTGAACTGTGATCATGTCACTGCACTCCAGCCTGGGTAACAGAGTGAGACCCTGTCTCAAAAAAAAAAAACAAAAAAACAAAAACCAAGGACCAGGCATTCAGAAAGCACCGTAATCGTTTAACTCTTTTTATTATTCACAGATCTCGTTTACATTTTTCCTGCCTGATTCTCACAGACACCCAGTGGGGTGGCTGACATTACAGTGAGCAAGCAGTGCAGGGTCCTGGGAGGGGAGGTGATACTCCCAAGGTCAAGCAGCCAGACCCGGCCGAGCAGGCACCTGTAGACGCCGAAGCGCCCCTGCCCCACCCACTGAAGCGCCTCTAGTGACCCCTACTTCACACAGCCTGCCAATTACCAGAAGCAGGGGTATGACTGCAGGCTCAGCCATCACTCCTGCCCTTCTGAACACACACGGGACCAAGCCCACAAGTCACTTGTCCAAGGTCACACCCAGCAGTAGGGCAGGGCAGGATGCGAAAAAATGCACCCTTCTGCACCTTCCCGCCCAAGTCCCACCAACAACTCTGCTCTTAGGAGCTGACCCTCAGCCTCTTCTTTCCCTTTCCCACGAGGCAGCCCACTAACTGGGGAGGTCAAAGGAGACCCAGTCCCGAAAACCCCAGCCGGACGTTCCACAGGAAGAGGCGCTGGGGCTGGGATCAGGGGCCTGTGTCGCCTCCTCCTCTGCACTAGAATCTGCCAGCACAGCTTCTCCTGCCTCTGTCCTCTCCAAAGCCATCAGCCCAGTCTCCTGGCTCAGAAAACAGCTGCTGGCAGGGCCAGGCGCGGTGGCTCAAGCCTGTAACCCCAGCACTTTGGGAGGCTGAGGCGGGTGGATCGCGAAGTCAAGAGATCGAGACCATCCTGGTGAACATGGTGAAACCCCGTCTCTACTGAAAATACAAAAATTAGCTGGGCATGGTGGCGCCTGCCTATAATCCCAGCTACTCAGGAGGCTGAGGCAGGAGAATTGCTTGAACTCAGGAGGCGGATGTTGCGGTGAGCCAAGATCGTGCCATTGCACTCCAGCCTGGGTAACAAGAGCGAAACTCCGTCTCAAAAACAAAAACAAAAACAAAAAAAAACAAAAAACAAAAAACAAAAAAAAACAGCTGCTGGCTAACCTAGTGCTTAACTTAGGTTAAGCACTTTCTTAAATCCAATAAAGCAAATTTCCTCCCAAAGCTACAGTTCCTCATGGGGACCTGAATCTGCCACCAAGACCCTCAATTAATAACTCACCTAAATTGCCCTGGAAGTACCAGCAGACAGAGTCCTTTAATAGAATGCGTGCTAACCGGAGCTTCTGATTGGTGGAATAGGAGCTAACCAAGGGCTGTGATTGGTAGAGTGCCGGCTAACCAGGAATTCTTATTGGTGGAATGCTGGCCAACCCGGGCTTCCGATGGCTGACCAACCAGGGGTTCCTGTTGATGAAGGTTGGTTAATTGAAATTTCCAGGTGATACTGCACTGGAAAAAGTGGATTTTTCTGCAAATGCCTGAAAAGTTTCTGATAGCTCTTTCAGGGTTTTGCATTTATGGTTACGGTCTGTAAAGGCCCTACGCACACAGTAAATAAAGATCCACTACCCTCTCCCTGGCAACTTCAGACTCCTACAGGTGAGAATCAAGGGCAGCGGAAGTCCACTGACCCCAGGGTTCTCTCTCTCTTTTTTTTTTTTTTTTTTTTTGATACTGAGTCTGGCTCTATTGCCCAGGCTAGAGTCCAGTGGCGCAATCTCAGCTCACTGCTACCTCCACCTCCCGGGTTCAAGCAATTCTTATGCCTCAGCCTCCTGAGTAGCTGGATTACAGGTGTGCGCCACCACAATTGGCAAATATATATATATATATATATATATATATATATTTTTTTTTTAAGACAAAGTCTCTCTCTGTTACCGGGCTGGAGTCCAGTGGCACAATCTCAGCTCACTGCAATCTTGGCCTCCCGAGTTCAAGCGATTCTCATGCCTCAGCCTCCCAAGTAGCTGGGATTACAGGTACCCAATACCATGCACAGCTAATTTTTGTATTTTTAGTAGAGACAGGGTTTCACCATGTTGGCCAGGCTGGTCTCGAACTCCTGACCTCAAATGATCCACCCACCTCGGCCTCCCAAAGTGCTGGGATTACAGGCATGAGCCACTGTGCCTGGCCACACCAAGGCTCTCTTACTTCTGGCAAGCCAGCCTCCTGCAGCCAACCTGGAGCTGCCCCAGACTCAGAAATAAGGAAGGTCACTGAGCAGCCAATGGCCAAAGAACAAAATTTGGGCACCGGCCTTGGATGCTAAGGCCAGAGCCACCACCCCTACCACCACAGCACCCACAGCATCTAACGAGACACTGGCATCCCAGCCAGACACTCGGGGGCATGGGACATGCCCTTCAAGTCTAGATCATGTGCCAGGTACTTATCCCTCCTGCCCAGCCCAAGGCCAAGTACCCCCAGTCCCTCTGCACTTGCCTGCCCAGTTCCAGCCTCAAACTGGCCACTGAGAACTTTGATTTCACACTGCCCTGAAGTAACTCACACACCTCAGAGTCACTTAACATCGACACAGTCAATGTGGATAATCCACATGGGATTCTCCCGAACCCAAAAAAGGAGTTAAGACACTCATCCTTCTCTCACCTAATGAGCCGGAGGTTCTCGTTCGTGCTCCATCCCACCTGCTGCTACACTACCCATCCATACTCTGCACTCTAACCTGGCCAGTCTGGCACCATTCTCCTCGGTCCCAGAACACACCATGCCCAGGCTGTTCCCATGAGAAACATCCCAGCCTCCCTCCCTTCCCCAAAGTTCCTCCAGCCCATCAGTGAGAATCCTGCACTGGGCTCAAGTACAAAAGGTCCAGCCTTGCCACTTACTAGCTGTGGAACACAAAGCCCCAGTTTCCCCCATCTGTAAAATACGAAACACTGCTTCATGTCACAAGGTCCTGGTGAAGTTTAAAAGAGATCAAGAAAGGCCAAGATTGGTGGCTTATGCCTGTAATCCCAGCTACTCAGGAAGCTGAGGCAGGAGAATTGCTTGAACATGGGAGGCAGAGGTTGCCATGAGCCAAGATCATCACACCACTGCACGCCAGCCTGTGCTACAGAGTGAGACTCTGTCTCAAAAAAAAAAAAAAAAAAAAAGCAACAAGGCTGGGCGCGGTCACTCATGCCTATAATCCCAGCACTTTGGGAGGCTGAGGTGGGTGGATCATGAGGTCAAGAAATCGAGACCATCCTGGTCAACAAGGTGAAACCCCATCTCTACTAAAAATACAAAAATTAGCTGGGCATGGTGGCGCACACCTATGGTCCCAGGAGGCTGAGGTGGAAGAATTGCCTGAACCCAGGAGGCAGAGGTTGCGGTGAGCTGAGATCATGCCATTGCACTCCAGCCTGAGTGAAAAACTCCGTCTCAAAAAAAAAAAAAAAAGATGCGGATGGAGACCACCATATACCTGCTTTTAAGACTCTGAATGTCAGCGGCCTGGTACAGTGGCTCGCATCTGTAGTCCTAGCACTTTGGGAGGCCAAGGTGGCTGGATCACCTGAGGTCAGGGATTAAAGACCAGCCTGGACAGCCACCATGATGAAACCCTGTCTCTACTAAAAATACAAAAATTAGCCAGGTGTGGTGGCATATGCCTGTAATCCCAGCTATTTGGGAGGCTGAGGCAGGAAAGTGACTTGAACTCGGGACGGGGAGGTTGCAGTGAGCCAAGACAGCACCACTACACATCATTCTGGGTGACAGAGTGAGACTCCATCACACAAACACAAAAAAAAAATTTAAAAGACATTCAGTCTTTTTTTTTTTTTTTTTTTTGAGACAGAGTTTCGCTCTTGTTACCCAGGCTGGAGTGCAATGGCACGATCTCCGCTCACCGCAACCTCTGCCTCCTGGGTTCAGGCAATTCTCCTGCCTCAGCCTCCTGAGTAGCTGGGATTACAGGCATGGGCCACCATGCCCAGCTAATTTTTTGTATTTTCATTTTTAGTAGAGACGGGGTTTCACCATGTTGACCAGGATGGTCTCGATCTCTTGACCTCGTGATCCACCCGCCTCGGCCTCCCCAAAGTGCTGGGATTACAAGCTTGAACCACCGCGCCCGGCCAGTCTTTTTTTTTTTTGAGATGGAGTCTTGTATTACTGCCCAGGCTAGAGTATAGTGGTGCCATTCTCAGCTCCCTGCAACCTCCACCTCCCGGGTTCAAGCGATTCTCCTGACTCAGCCTCCTGAGTAGCTGGGATTACAGGCACGTACCACCATGCCCACCTAATTTTTGTATTTTTAGTAGAGACAGGCTTTCACCATACTGGCCAGGCTGGTCTCAAACTCCGGACCTCATGATCTGCCCGCCTCGGCCTGCCAAAGTGCTGGGACTACAGGTGTGTGCCATCGCACCCAGTCCTGAATGTCATTTTAAAAGCTACCAGGCACTTCCCATACCCGTGGCTAATTTTCACAGGTGCATCTGTTTTCCAGGGCCTGAGAACCGTTAAGCGACGGGTCCAAACCTGCAGCTTTCGTAGATGGCACTGTGCCCTATGGTACCCTCCGGTAGGCCTGGGAGACAGAAAAACAGGGAGATCCCTGCTGATCACTAAGTCAGGGAGCAAAGCCCACGAGCTTGACATGACCCAGAGAAGTAAATACTTCTGGCCAGAAGGTCCTGCCTGACACACGCATTCAATCCCCCCAACAAGCTCCCTGCCTTACCCTGCAGCCCCTACTGAACATAAACAAATCCAGGCACCCCCAACTCCATGCCTAATGCACAGCTCACAATTGTCTTGTAATGGCTGTCTCGGTGCCCTACCCTGGATGAAGGACCCTGCACCCTCAAGCCCTTGGCTTATCAAGATACAGCTATCCTGGGGAACTGCTGGCATCCTCCAAAGGGAGTCTTGGGGCAGGAATAAAGTGAAGCCAGAATCTTAGGGGGCCCTAGGAGGACTCACCAAAGGCCCAAGCATGGCAGCCAGAGGGCCCCTCTGCCCTCACCCTGCCCAGGATCAGGCCCAGAATGTCCTCCCCAGAAGGCGAAGTGGCTCAACCACACCTCCACACTGCCCAGCCCAGCCCTACAGCAGCCTGCAACCCCAGGACCAGGGTTGAAGTTCCAGCTCCACCACTTGCTGTGGTGGTCCCCTCCCTAGTCTCTCTGTCCTCGTCTTTCAATGGAATCAAAAGACGTTTTTGATTCATAGAAAGATTATGACAACTCAATGAGAAAATTCTAGCAAACTGAGCTGAGCCCCCAGAATATAAAAAGTGCTCAAGAATATTTTCTTACTTATTATTACTGGGCCCTCCAGGTGGGCCTCTTGCAAGAGCCAGCCCTCGGGGCATCCCTGCCGGCTGCCAGACCCATCAACTGGTCCAAGTCTAGGTATTGACTGGGAACTTCAGAGTAGCTTTAAGATGGGAACCCTTGGGGCAGAGGATTGGGTGGGAGTGTCTGCACGTGTACAGCAACCTTCCCTCCAGGCCGGATTCTGCACCGGCTAGTGTCCACCAGCCTGGGCCACACCGGCGGGCTCCTCCTCCCTCAATCCCCGCCCAGACTGCCTTGGGCGGCAGAGCACGTGGCTCCAGCCCTGGGGAGCCATTTCGCTCCTGGAGCAGCGCGGCAGGAAAGGGGCCGCAGGTCCCAAAGTTGTGCACGCCGAGGAGCGCGTACCTCCCCAACACCCCGCCCGGCGGGTTGTTCAAAATGCAGATGTCCGGGCTCCAGCGACCAGAGCTCCAGGCGTGTGCATTTTAACAAGTGTCCGGGGCGGTTTGGCTGTGTGTGGTCCTTGAATCCATCACCCTTTGGAATTAGAGCAACCTAGGACCAAGCTTGCAAAGTGGCTTCTGCGGAGGCCTGCGAACCTCGGGCCACCCACCCAGCTGGGGGACCGAACGCTTTCGGTTTACGGCAGGGGGGAGGGGCGTTGGATGGGAAAGTTTGCAGAGGGAACCCACGTGCGGCGGGAAACTGCCCTGCGAGACTAGAGGCGGCCTCAGGTGTCCACTCCCCAAAAGGCCTGCCCACCTGGCCTGCCTTGCCCATCGTGCCCGCGGGGGCCGAGCTTTGTGCAGGGAAAGCGTGGCCCACGAGCGCCTACAAATCCCACAATGCTGCACCCGCAGGACACGGAGAACTACAGCTCCCGCGAGGCCGCGCGCAGAGGTCCGCCTACTCCAAGAGGGCTGCAGAGTCACGTCCAGGCCTCGCTAGTAAACAGCGCCCGGGCGCGGGCGGGCGAGCCAGCAGCAGCCAACGTGCCCCGGGCCGCGGCGCCCCTGCCGGCCGCGCAGGCCCCTCGGGGCCCGCCCACCCCCCACACTCACACGCAAGCACGCCCCCGACCCCGCTGCAGCCCGGCTCTGCAAACACGCACAGTGCCCGGCTCCCCGCCCCCACCCCGCGCCGGGAGCCGCGGCATGGCTGCATTGTAGCCGCCCTCGCTACGGTCCCACGCGCGCCCCGGACCCCCAGACCCCCTTGAATGGGGGCGCCTTAAGATCGCGAGGAAGGAAGGAGAGGAAGGAAGCCGCCGTGGGAGGGGGAAGAGGAAGAGCGGTCGGGGGGGAAGGCCACCAGCACCAAGCATGGCCGGGACTGCTGCAGAACCACGTGGGTCTGTTTGCAATTTACAAACGTCGCGACTCGCCCGCCTGCAGCGGACAAAAGTGGCCAGGGCCGTTCGGGGCCCCCATGCTCCAAAGGAGGAGGGTCCCGGGGCGGCGCGGACCTGGTGCGCGAGCCTGCAGCGGTCCCAGCAGCTAAGAAAGGCTAGCAGGGTCGGCGGCGCGGGCCATGCGTGCGCACACGCGCGCCCGCCCGGGCGGGCTGGCCGGGGGCTGCATTGGTAGGAAGGGGGTGGGGGAAGGAGGAGTACACACCTACAGAGCCCTCCTATCACTTCTTTCTCTGTTTTCCTGAAATGTTGCAAAGAGGGCACCTTCTGAGTGGGCACCATGAAATACTCCATAGCGATCGGCCCCCCTCCTCTGCACGAGCCAGGTCCCGCGATCAGCCGGAGAATGCAAGATGGAAATCCGAATCAAAGGGCAGCGCCGGACGGAGGTGCAGAATCGGCCGGTCCCAGATGCTGGCGGCGGCGGCGGCGGCGGCGGCGGCAGCGGCGGCGGCGAGGGGAGGGAGGCGGGCGGGAGGGGCGGGAGGGAGGTCTCTCCGGCCTGCCTCCCCGGGCGTGTGTATGTGTGTGTGTGTGCGTGTGTGTGTGTGTGTGTTTGCAGCTGATCAGATGTCTGTTTCAAGGCGGGAAACAGCTGGTGAAAACTCAGCACTCCCCCGGCCTCCTTCCGCGGAGTAAGGAATTGCATGTAAACAAAGGACTATTTGCAGCGCCCCCCAGGCGGCGTGAGGCCGGGGCGAGAGGGGCGCGGGCCCCCGGGGGCCCGCTGCAGCCGGGGTCTGCAGGCCTCTCGCAGGGCACAGGGGGCCGGGGACCGCGGGCCGGCTGGGGGTGGCGCAGCGTGAATGGAGCGAGCTGCGGCCGAGCTACATGCGCCACTATGGGGTGATGAGGTCCATCAGCTGACAGGTTGGCAAGCGTTGCAAAAAAAAAAAAAAAGGCCAGCCACCGCGCGGGGAGCCCAGCCCGTGCAGCCCCGGGTCCAGCAGGGACTGCCCAGTGCAGGGTCCGCGCACTCGGCGGGCCCGCGGGAAGAAGGGGGCGCGGCTGGGTCGGGCGTGCAGCGGCTACGGGAAAGGCGGCCTGAGGTTCGCGCTCGGAGCTTCTGCTTTTTCACCATTGCAATTGCACACAGCGGAGCTCTCCGGTGTGCTCCCTTCGAGCTGAGCCCAGGGCCCCCTGGAAACTTGCGTCACAGCCACCGCTTCCCACATGTAACTTGGGGCTGACTTCGGAGGCCGGCCAGCCTCCTCCCTCCCACCCTGCCTAGCTGCCAGCCGCTGGCCGCGCGGCTGGGACTCCGAATCCTGGGAATCCTGGCCCGGCGAGGGGACAGCAAAAGGCGCCAGGGATGCTGGGGCCGCCCTAGGAAGCCGGGGGCCCGGGCGGGGAGGAGAAGGTGGAGGCAGGCCCGAATGGCTGCGTCCCCTGGACTCAGGCTGCCAGCACGGCCGGAAGGTCTGCTGCTTGCTCCCAGGTCTCCTGGTATTCCCCCGACCCCCACTGTTCCCTCCGCGGGCTGAAGGCTGCAGCTTCTCATTTATGACAAAGCCCGTGCCGGACTTGCCCCTCCGCCAGGGTGCGCTCCCCACGAGAGGGTGACGACGTGGGGCGGGGACGGGGACCCTGGCGGTGAGCTTCCAATCCTCCGCTCCCACGCCCCACCTTCCGACCCCAGGCCCTCCCTGGCTCCTGGAGGGTTGGCTTCTGGCTCAGGAAGCCCACGCCTGCCTTGGAATGTCCTGGATCCTGCCTACCGCCTTCCAGGTTCCCTCTAAATCGAGCCTGCTAATTTGACGTATTCCTACTACTAACAATAGTTAGTTATTATTGGGAAATATTGTTATTAAATGTTGTCAGCACCCGGTGGATGCCGAGCAGTTTTGCATACACGCGCTCCAATCCTTAAAGCAACCTGTTAAGCAGTTTCTCTAAGTACAGATTCCAGGCTGACAAAAAAGTCCCTGAAGTCTTACTTTATTTTTATTTTTATTTTTTTTTAAATACGCAGGGCGCGGTGGCTCATGCCTGTAATCCCAGCACTTTGGGAGGCCCAGGCGGGTGGATCACCTGAGGTCAGCAGTTCGAGACCACGCTGGCCAACATGGAGAAACCTCGTCTCTATTTAAAAAAAAAAAAGAAAGAAAGAAAAAGCCGGGCACGGTGGCTCATGCCTGTAATCCCAGCACTTTGGGAGGCCGAGGTGGGTGGATCACGAGGTCAAGAGATCGAGACCATCCTGGTCAACATGGTGAAACCCTGTCTCTACTAAAAATACAAAAAATTAGCTGGGCATGGTGGCACGTGCCTGTGATCCCAGCTACTCAGGAGGCTGAGGCAGGAGAATTTCCTGAACCCAGGAGGCGGAGGTTGCGGTGAGCCGAGATCGTGCCATTGCACTCCAGCCTGGGTAATAAGATCGAAACTCCGTCTCAAAAAAAAAAAAAAAAAAAAAAAAGAGAGAGAAAGAAAGAAAAGAAAAAGAAATTAAAAAAATAAAATACTTTCTACTGTTTTTATTTTATTTTATTTTATTTTGAGATAGAGTCTTGCTCTGTTGCCCAGGCTGCAACCTCTGCCTCCCAGGTTCAAGTGTTTCTCCTGCCTCAGCCTCCTCAGTAGCTGGGATTACAGGCATGCACCACCACGCCTGGCTAATTTTTGTATGTGTAGTAGAGACGGGGTTTCACCAAATTGGTCAGGCTGGTCTTGATCTCCTGACCTCATGATCTGCCTGCTTCGGTCTCCTAAAGTGCTGGGATTACAGGCGTGAGCCACCGCACCCAGCCTACTGTTTTTCAATAATAAAGATGGGGGTCTCACTATGTTGCCCAGCCTGGTCTTGAAGTCCGGGGACTCAAGGAATCCTCCTACCTCTAACTCCCAAAGTACTGGGATTACAATTGTGAGCCATGGATGGTCCTAGCGGGAAGCCTCTCTTTAACTGCCCCTGGTGAGCAAGTGAGCAAACTGTTTTTTTTTTTTTTTTTTTTTTTTTTTATTTTGTGAGATGGAGTTTCACTCTTGTTACCCCAGGCTGGAGTGCAATGGCGCGATCTCGGCTCACCGCACACCTCTGCCTTCTGGGTTCAGACAATTCTCCTGCCTAAGCCTCCTGAGTAGCTGGGATTACAGGCACGTGCCACCATCCCCAGCTACTTTTTTGTATTTTTAGTAGAGACCGGGTTTCACCATGTTTACCAGGATGGTCTCGATCTCTTGACCTCGTGATCCACCCTCCTCGGCCTCCCAAAGTGCTGGGATTACAGGCTTGAGTCACCACGCCCGGCCTTTTTTTTTTTTTTTTTTAAGACAGAGTCTTGCTCTGTCACCCAGGCTGGAGTGCAGTGGTGTGATCTCGGCTCACTGCAACCTCCACCTCCCAGATTCAAGCGATTCCCCTGCCTCAGCCTCCCAAGTAGCTGGGATTACAGGCACGAACCACCAAGCCCAGCTGATTTTTGTATTTTTAGTACAGACGGGATTTCACCATTTTGCCCAAGCTGGTCTCGAACTCCTGAACACAGGAGATCCGGCCTCCCAAAGTGCTGGGATTATAGGCATAAGCCATCTTGCCCAGCAGTGAGCAAGCTATTCTGATACATTACTGTCTCTTTATCCTCCCGTTTTGCAGATGGGAAGGCAGATCCCCATAGTTGCAATTAAGGATGCACTCAGGCACAATCTCGGCTCACTGCAACCTCTGCCCCCACAGGTTCAAGTGATTCTCCTGCCTCAGCCTCCTGAGTAGCTGTGATTACAGGCACCCGCCACCACGCCTGGCTAATTTTTTGTATTTTTAGTAGAGACGGGGTTTCATTATGTTGACCAGGCTGGTCTTGAATTCCTGACGTCGTGATCTGCATGCCTCAGCCTCCCAAAGTGCTGGGATTACAGGCGTAAGCCACTGTGCCCAGACTCCCTGGTCCAATTTTGTCTCCCAGAGGAGAGGGATTGTGCTTTTACTCTTCTCTCTTCATAAGGGATGGCACAGGGCTGGGCACACGTCTGAACTACAGAGAGTGATCTGCAAAGCTGATGTCCCCGCAGACAGCCTTAGCAGCGAGGATGAGAGGGACAAGTGGGTGGCCCAGGGTGACCCCGGAGCTTCCTGCCCACACTGAACTGGGTAGTAGGAGCCCATCCCCAATCCTATGAATCATGGAAGCCTCCCCAAAGCAGTGCCGTTTGGCATCCAGCCTAGCGGGTAGCAGAGAGCTGCTTTTTCATTTGTCTTGGGAGTCATTTCCAGACCCACACAGGCCCTGGTTCCTGGGGCAAGAGTTGAGGTCACAAAATGTTAAGAGAGTGCCAAAAAGCTCAGCAGCTAAAATGAATTATGTCAGGGTTTTTTGTTGATGTCATTGAGGCAGAGTCTCACTCTGTCCCCCAGGCTGGAATGCAGTGGTGCAATCTCAGCTCCCTGCAACCTCACCTCCCCAGTTCAAGTGATTCTTGTACCTCGGCCTCCTGAGTAGCTGGGACTACAGGAGTGCACCTCATGCCGTGGTAATTTTTGCATTTTTTTGTAGAGACAGGGTCTTGCCATGTTGCCCAGGCTGGTCTCGAACTCCGGACCTCAAGTGATCACCAGCCTCCATCTCCCAACGAGATGGGAGTCATGAGCCACCACACCTGGCTCAAATTATGTCTTAATTTAACTTCTTAAAACATCAACATTGGCCGGGCGTGGTGGCTCAAGCCTGTAATCCCAGCACTTTGGGAGGCCGAGGCGGGTGGATCACAAGGTCAAGAGATCGAGACCATCCTGGTCAACATGGTGAAACCCCGTCTCTACTAATGGTGCAAAAAATTAGCTGAGCATGGTGGCGCGTGCCTGTAATCCCAGCTACTCCGGAGGCTGAGGCAGGAGAATTGCCTGAACCCAGGAGGCGGAGGTTGCAGTGAGCCGAGATCGCACCATTGCACTCCAGCCTGGGTAACAAGAGCGAAACTCCGTCTCAAAAAAAAAAAAAAAAAACAAAAAACATCAACATTGTCTGGGCACAATGGCTCACGCCTGTAGTCCCAGCACTTTGGGAGGCCTACGTAAGTGGATTGCCTGAGCTCAGGTAGTTCAAGACCAGCCTGGGCAACATGGCAAGACCCCATCTCTACAAAAGATGTAAACAAATTGGCTGGGACTGAGCACAGTGGCTCACACCTGTAATCCCAGCACTTGGGGAGGCCAAGGTGGGCACATCACAAGGTCAGGAGATCAAGACCATACTGGCTAACACAGTGAAATCCCATTTCTAGTAAATAAATTTAGTAAAATTTATTAAAATTAAAATTAAATTCTGTAAAAATAGCTACTCAGGAGGCTGAGGCAGGAGAATCGCTTGAACCCAGGAGACGAAGGTTGCAGTGTGCTGAGATCGCACCACTGCACTCCAGCCTAGGTGACAGAGACTCCATCTCAAAAAAAGAATTAGCTTGGTGTGATGGTATAGTCCCAGCTACTCAGGGGGCTGATGTGGAAGGACTGCTTGAGCCCTGGGAGGTTGAGACTGCAGTGAGCTGTGATGGTGCCACTGCACTCCAGCCTGTGTGACACAGCGAGACCCTATCTCAATAAAATAAGATAAATTACTACCAAAAATCCATGGTGAACA